GAGCTCACAAAGTGGAATTTTTGCTCACAAGACTCCACAGCTTAGAGGGAACATTGACCACAGGGTGTGACTTTCATATCATGTGATGCAATTACTGGGTTTTGGAATGTGTCTAGGGCCAGCCCTGCCTTCCTTGTTACCTGATCTATCCTCAGAAGTCTGCAACTCCAGTGTGGGATCAGTTCCAGCCATGACCCAATCTACAGTCCCCATGCATGTTCATAATACATTTATTTATTTAAAGAAAGCATGGCTGGTTCCAGGATGTAGGCTGTGACCCCTCAGAGAAGGCAAGGGGACACTCGGAACAGGAGGGAGAAGCATTTTTAACTCTGGACATAAAAGAACTTCTGTCCCCCACTTCTCCCATCATGTGCACTGCAGGAAGGGAACAAGTACTGGAAGGGTAGTACTGGAGCCTTTTCCCTGGCCCCTGGCAAAACTCAGAACAGATCCTAGTTTAAGCTTCCCCCGCACCTGGTTTTCGGGAACATGAATGTGCCCTTAGATGCCTGAAATACTCCAGACAATGAAGTTAAGCTTATATTGATGAGAATACAACAAGTGTAACATTCTAGAATCACGGGGCCACTATTGTTTCATGGACTAATTCAAGAGTGTGCATGACATTTAGGAGTAAACTGGGGCCCTTTCCTTTTCCAGCTCATCAGATGTTAATGGCCCTTGAATCTATCACAAGAGTAGACAAGCATCTCTTCCTGGGCCATTTGTAATGCCCATTTCCATGCACTATGAATAAGTCCTTAATGAACTACTAACTGGTTTGGTTCGTGACATGAAGTTTTTCAGTTGTTTAAGACATGTAGGACTAGCAGGAGTTCCGCATCTAAATGAACACTGGATTGTGGCTCATCCACTCTATTGGAGGGGGGAAGGGGGGAAGAGAGAGAGAATTGTATACACCACTGATCCACAGTGTGCTGCCTGCCAATATGATTCTTGATACACACTCGCTTCTTCCCTAAAGCATCTCTTTCCTAAACCAAAACACGAGACCTGGCTTTCCCTGACACACTGGACTTGGAGGTGCTTCAAGAGCGCAGGAGGCATCAACCTTTGTGTATGCAGGAAGCACCCATTTGGAAACAGCTTTTTTCATCATAGGTGGAGGCTTGACTTGCAACTTCCTACAATTTTGTGGAACCTTCAGACATTTTGTGATTGCACCTAGTCTCTGTAGCAGTCATTTTGTGATTATTCCCACCCAAGGCATGGCGGCTATTTTGTTGTGTCATTCACTACCTGTTCTCAAAATTCCAAATGTCTCCACAGGCTTAACAAGGTCAAGGACCCCTGGTATGCAGAATTGTACTGAGACTGGAGAATCTCAAGTTCAGATCCCCCTCTCAAATGTGAACTTCAAATGGAAGTGGAAGAGCCTGATTTTCCAACTACTATTTCTTTAATTTTTATATTCACAGGTTTTTTGGCTTAAACTTGACTGCGTTCTTTGTATTTTTGAATGCATTTGACCTGGTGCATTTTGATATTATTATGTTTTATTGACATTTTAAAAATTGTTTGTTTTTAAAAATCAGTGAAATGGGATTGAGCTGCTTCACTTGGAACCGAGTTCCTGTTTACTTTTTAAAAATGTATTTTAAAAGTAATTAGCAGCAAAGAAATGGCATGTATCCTTCACTCTGATGAGACAGGTGAACTTTTGTATTTGTGTACTTATCACATAATGCAAAGTAGCATCAGGCTTGATTTAGAATTGGTTGAGTTCTCTGAAGTGGAGACGGACTTCCCAGGAAAGGATGTTTGACCTGTAATGTGGCCAAATGTTACAAACTGGGCAAATGTGTATTCTGAGCCAGCTAAGGACAAATAGTTGTGTCACTGCCAGTGCAGATGGTCGCATGGGAAATCTTGCATGCTTTGCCTAGGTGCATGGTATTTTATTTGTCAATACAAATATGCATCGTGGTGATCAGTCTATTGAACAATCAAGTTCTTCTGAAACAACAGGACCACCCCTTTGGTCCATACTCTCTGTGGCTTCCTTTTTGCCACAATGTAATGTGTATGATGAAATACCTCTCCAAAATGTTCCCAAATTCCACAAGTGGCTGACAGAGAAAAAGGAAGCAGAAATACTCACATCCATGTTGAAGGTTGTCAGATCAATATGACAAATGACCTTTCCTCATAAGGAAGTAACATTTCCCACTCCCTGCCCATTATGGGGACACTGCTTTCTAAACATTGCTGATGACAGGGAGGGAGCATTTGAGAGGACATGTCCTCCACACATTGATGATGCGCTCACAAGCCAGCTGTTTAGGGTTGCCAACACCAGTTTGGAAAGTTCCTGGAGATTTGCCAGTGGAGCCTGGGGAAGTCAAGGTTTAGGGAGGGGAGGGACCTCAGTGAGGTATAATGCCATAGAGCCCACCCTCCAAAACAGCCGTTTTCTCCGGGGAAACTGATCTCTGTCATCTGGAAATCGGTTGCAATCCCAAGAGATCTCCAGGCCTCACCTGGAAGTTAGCAACCCCAGCTATTTATTTATTTATTTATTTATTTTAGACATTTTTACCCCGCCCTCCCCGCGAGCGGGCTCAGGGCGGCTTACAAGGGGCAATGAGCCCATACATAAAAACCAATAAAACCATAAAAATTAATCAACACATTACATTCAACAATAAAGTGCTTCCGTAGACGTCATGCCGAAGTGGGGGAAGACCAGTGTGCTCATTCCCATTCTCCCTTTCTGTCCATTCAGTCAAGTCAAGGGGTTGTGTGTACAGGGCTAGTATAAGGCAACTTCATATGTTCACAATGTATTCCCAAATATGAGCACGGGGCTATAAAGTTTACAGGGGATCATATCTGAGATGATGCTCCCTGAGATTTGCAAGACTCAGGCCACAGGTTATTACCATTCCCCTCTCTTCTCCCAATTCTCTTCCTCCCCCACTCTCCCAAAATAGACTGTAGGCTCCTTAATTTAAGCAAGGACCTACCGGTTTTGCTTCTGTAAAACACCATATACCTCGCAAAGCACCATATGTTTTAAGTTCTATTATAACAACAACAGCAAGTAATATGGTTCCTATGGAGTCACTGAGTCCCAATTTACTTCTGCAGTTCTTGAGCAATCTTACTTCCCCCTCCTCCAGCTCTCTATTCTTTCCAAATTCCACACTTCAGATTTTCTTTTAATATTCAACAAGAATAAAACAGACCTCCTCTGTACTGTACTGAGCCGTAATAAGATTATAAATTCCAGTGCTTTACTGCAATGGTCTGGGAGGGGTCTTTCATCTTAAGCACAATTATCTTGGGCTAAAGAGATTTTCTGCTGAGATAACTTTATCCTTGTTATGCCAGTTGTAGCCTGCATGCATACTTAGGATTTGGGCAGACAGGGAAGAAAGGGCCCCCCGAAACTTGCCATGTACAGAAGATGCAAGCCTTTTCTGGCTGCTTTGGTTCAAGTGGAGTGCCTAGCTTTGTAGACTTTCTTTAAGGGATCGTCCTGGTGCTCTGCTTTTGGGTTGAAGTTGGACATCAGTGCCAGCTTCCATGGTTTTCCTTCCTTTCCCCTGGCCTTCTCTCCCACCTCTCTCCTGCTATTTCCCTGTCCTTAAAACAGGAAGAAGCTCCAGACATTGCATCTTGGGTAAGAAGACATTACACTTGCCACACAACTGGACTCTCTGGATGAGTTTCCCATTCAACCCCTCCCTTGTATTGCTTAGTAACATTCACCATGAGGTTTCTACCCATCTCTTGATTCATGTTAATGGCAACTATCAAAAACTGCATGGAAAGTCAGGTACAACGGGCTCATTCACGTGGTGATTTATACTAAGCAATAGGGTGCCATGCTGTTTCAGTCTCTGTGGTGGGTGTAACATGTCGACCTTCTCAGGGTTCTGCTAATACTCAAGATCAGAAGAACGTATAAATATATATCTGGGAAGCCTTTACATGAGATCCCAAATTATTTGTTTTGTCATGACCGAAGCCTCAGACAGCCCTGACCTGGATGGCCCACGATAGGCTGATTTCATCAGATCTTGGGCGCTAAGCAGGGTCAGCCCTGATTACTCCTGGAATGGGAAACACCAAGAAAGTCCAGGGTTTCCTATGTGGAGGCAGGCAATGGGAAACCACCTTTGTTTGTCTTTTGTCTTAAAAACCTTATGGGGCTCAACATAAGTTGGCTGCAATTTGACTTTTTGCCACCAAGGCTCAAGGAATGGCTAGAGCACCCACTCTGAGGAAGAGGAGTCAGACAGCTCAACAAGGGAAGCCATACAGTTTTGTAATTGTGTCCGCAGAGAAGTCAAGTACAGACTGCAGTGCTGAAGAAATCCTCATGGCAGACATGGAAGCAGGACCCTACAATTGAGACCCCTCCCAAGTGCAGGGTCCCAAGGGTGAACCTTGAACCTAAACCTCAAGAAGAACCACCATGCTATCTACTCAAACCTCTTGCTCCATCTCACCAAAGAATATGAACAGGAAATAACAGAATGATGTCAAAGCACAAGATTCCAAGCTCAGATGCTATCGCCCAAGAGGGAAAGTGGTGTTTGGGACAGGCTGTAGCATCAGGGTAGGGATACCACAGCTCAGCCTGGCATTTTCTAAAGGGGGGGGGGAGTGCATATCCTGCTTGACATACAAAAACCGAATACATGAAATATTGTCATCTAAAAGTAAACACTGTGATTTCTGTTCCTCAACAAACATTTAAGATCTGAAGTCTTAACAACTTCCTGTTTTCTTAAAAGCTCACAGGGACAATCAATAAGTTTTTCATGAGACTGGGAAAGGATGTTAAATCAATGCACATTAATGCTTATAGGTGTGTAGATGGGAAGAGACAGAGAGGACAGTTCCATCATCCTATCTCTTTGACAGATGGTAAAATTTTAAACAAGAAGTCAAGGCTCATACCAAGGTTCACCACATCCGAAGTTACAATTCCTCATATGCCAAGAGTTAAGTGAAGCTAAACTTACCACCCCGCCTCCTGCAGAGTGAACCAGCACCGACATGCCTTCTCGCAAGTTGGCGACCTCAAAGAGCATCATGTAGGCAGTGACAAAGTTCATAGGAAAAGCAGCAGCTTCTGAAAAGCTCATATCATCAGGGATCTTGTACACAAATTCCAAAGGCGTGCACACAACTTCTGCCCAGGCGTTGTAGTTGACAAAAGCCATGACCCTGTCTCCAATCTGAAAGCAGTTGAAAGTGTCACATTCAGGGTCTGGAATTCAGGGCTACAGGGTGATCTCTAATAAGGGCTGGTTCACACATGCATCACTCGATCAAGGGATAAGTGGCACGTATGAAAAGAGATGACTACACAGACTGCAATTCTGTAAAACCCTCAAAGGTAGAATGCTTTTCAATGGCAAACAGTTCACATCCAGCAACTAGTCATCATTGGTAGAGAGATCAAACAGTACATGACTATTTCTGAACCAGCCAAGAATATGAAGATTGCTATGATGCATTAGGTCAAAGGTCTGTCCAGCCCAACTTTCAACAGTCAAATATCCCGAAAATCTTGTTGGTCTCTAAGATACCACTGGATTCAAATCTAGCTCTGAATTTCTCAGGATGCACAGTAAAAGAGCTTTCACAACAGATCTAACAGGAGGCGGGCTGAATTCTTGCTCAGTCAGGTGATGGAGCTTCCCTGAGTTTTGGTGTTGTGGGACAGGCTTGGCAGTTGCATAGAAAAGCAGTGTGGCACAGTGCTTGAAGTGTTGGACTAGGATTAAGAAAACTTTGGTTCAAGTCCTGTTCATCCCTGAAGCTCACTGGCTAACCTTGGACCACTCTCTCTCTCTCAGTCTCACCTGTATCTACTCCCAACTGCTAGGTGAGATAGTTTGGAGAAAGACGTCATTGATATGTACCTATTTCTCCCTGTCATCTGCACCAAGTGAAGCAGCTGACATCCTAAACAGGCATTGAGAGTGAGTAACAGGCTAGATTTGAACTAATAAACTGAAGCCCAATCCAGACAATACAGAAGTTCTATTGGTAACTGATTGCTTACTCCAACAACTTGGAATTTCTCTTGTTCTGGAAATACATCACCTTGTAGGTTGTTTCAACAGAAAGGCATGGTGATACCCCATTAAATGAATAATTGCATTTCTCTCCCAAGATCTCAATGATTAAATTAATACAGTTCTTGAAATCTGTAGACTAGATCGAAAAACATTGACAAGTTGTGCTAATGTGTCTTGGTGATTGCATTTTGGGGCTTTTTAAGAGTACAGATTGGATTTTGACTGCAAACTTTGTATCATTGTACTTTCAGACCTGTATCTAACTTTATCAGCTACTCTTGACTGGTTCTAAAATAGGAATTCAAAATACATTACTCTAGCATCTGAAATTCTATTACTATCCAAAAGATATAACTAGCAAGAAATGGGAGGGGAGGGGCTTATCTCAAATATGATGCAGCAAAGAGAGTGGGTTTTTTTAAAGTGTGTTGATACATATACCATGTTCAGATATACTATACTAAAGTCTGTAAAAATAAAGTCAAACTAATTTATTCAGAAATGTTCTGTGCAGGTTTTGATACAGAAATGTACATATTGTTCAAGCAGTTTTAGTAGACCCATTTAGAAAAAGAACACAGAGCTAGAGAATACAGGAGTGGCCAACTTCAATGATCAACAACAATGATCAAAGGCTATATGGAATCATCTTTCCTTTGAGGTCAGGCTAAATAGGTTGGGACTTCATAGCTTATTGAGCAGCACATAAAAGGGGTTTCTAAAAATGATCAATGATAGGGTGGGAAAGCCAATGGAAATAATTTATTCTTTCTCAGAACTCTACAGCACTTCATACAAGACACAGTCTTTATATCTGATTCTGAACCTGGCCCCAGAGTGTGGCTCAAACAATCTGTGCAGTGGCGATGGTGGGAGTTGGCAGGCGGGATTGAGAGGAGGAAGAAAAGGGAGTGGGGGAGGAAGAAGAGGCAGTGGTGAAAGGGGAGAAGAAGCAGGTGTCAACAGAGAGATGGAATTTATCTACCCCAGTGAGAAGACCCCTTGCTTGTTGGGTGGCTCTTAAATTGAGACAAATTCATGGAATATACAGCTATCAGTGTTCCATCTACAAATGATCAGAAGCAACACACCTGACAGTCAATCAGTTACACTGATGGATATTTTCAGCCATTGCTTCTAATACAGAGATGCTTAATTCTAGGTCAATTCTTACTATATACGGGCATTTCACCTTTTAAAGATCTTTTAAAAGCAATCTGGCAGGTCTTAATACGATGACCATTTTGAAAAATGATACAACCTTTTAATTGGAGAGAGTGCTTCATTGAAATTGGAATGACAGGTCTGCTTTGGCAATGTTCACCAGCAAGACATCACCCTTTCAGGTCTTCCACAAAGCCATTAAGGAGGCACATTCTCAAAACCCCTGTGGGTGCATGGAGCAAGTTGTATGGTTCTGTCCATGTTTTCCATTATTATTATTGTGGTGGTGGTGGTGGTGGTGCTTGTTCACAGCTGGATCCAAAGATCCAGTCACAGAGATATCTTCAAGGAAGGACCTCTTCACTCACAGATGATGTCTTCTGGTCATGGGAGGAGACTTTCAGTCACAGAAGTCTGCTTGTGGAAGAAGTACTGAAAGTGTGTTTTATACATTATTTCAGCTGTCCTTAAAATCAACATGTACAGTGGACTCATATGCTCATAATTCAGATGGGAAGAGGAAAGTGCTGAAGCTGACAGACAGTGGTCTACCCAAGACCATCAACTGGATGGGTTCATGGAGAACGAGGACTTTGTTACTTCATAGTTTAAACGTTTTAGCCACTATGCCTACTGAAACAATGTGACATCGGACTAATTTGTCTGTTTCTGTCTCTGGAACACAACCATATTAAAAATGAGAAATAATAACTCAAGGAAAGAGTCCCAGGGTCCCAAATTATATACAGTTAAGCATTACATTACCTCATAACCTTTCACATTTTCACCCAGAGCTTCTACAATTCCAGAGCATTCAAATCCAGGTACCAGTGGGGTTTTGGGTGGGTTGTCAATATTACCTTGCCGAACCATCAGATCAATAAAATTTAATCCACTGTAAATGAAAGAAGCAAGAGAAGATTATATGAGAATACACATCTTAGAGAAGGGGAGAAAGAAATCCAGAGTAAAGATCAACCAGTATCTCATTCAGATTCAGATTTATTAATATGGTCGAAGACCAGCATAAATCATATACACGCATATACATAAAAAAATAAACAGATAATAAAAATATAATTTAAATTTGATAAAAGATATCTCAGATTTAAATAAATATTATATTAAATTTAAGAACCACTGCTTAAAATAACTTTACGGATTTTGGTAGCACCCGCAAAAAAACCTTGCACAAGAAGCTGTGATTTGTGGATTTGCACCGGTAAGGGGTGTCCTAGTAATCTCAGAAACAGGGCAGTCCTGTGGCTTTCTAAGGAAAGGAAGAATGAATTTTGCACGAATTTCTTGGTAGAAACCACACTGATACAAGACATGTTATATAGATTCAACCATACCAGCTCCGCAGGGGCAAACCCTCTCGTGCAGGGGGGCCTTTAATATCGTTCTGGCGCTCAATGTCAAACACCCGTTGTTTTACCAGGGCTTTCGCCCGGTCCAGTCCCATTACCAGGAGGGTCTGAGCAGACAAGCCTAAAATTCTCAATTTGTGGTGGACCACTGTTAGCCAGGGAGATTGAAAACAGTCCCAAAGGGTTATGGATGTTAATCCTTGGGGAAGGTAATTTAGCTTAAGCCACAATATAATGGAGGCAAGACTTACTCTAGCCCCTATTTTGATCAGTCCAGAGTCTAGGCGCAAGCTTGCATTTGAAACACAACTGGGCAATCTAAATATCACTCTTAAAAATTTTTGATTGAACTCTTTCTAGTGGGCTAAAGGCAGAAGATGGTGGGCCTGTTATTGTTCCATACAACAGCTGGGATACAGTTTTCGCCTGAAAGAGCTTAAGTGCCGCAGGAATGTATTGTCCTCCTTTTAGATGGACATTTTTTTGAATGGCCTGAGCTGATTTTTGTCCAATATTGGCCACGAAATCATGATGCGTTTTCCTGGTCTCTGACGAGTGTAACATCACCCCTAAATACCTAAAGCTTTCTACCTGTTCCACCCTGTGGCCATTGATGCTCCAAATCCTGTTTTTTACTCTACTGCCGAAGGATATAATTTTAGTTTTTGATAATTAATCTCAGGTTGATTCTCATTACAATACTGGCTAGCAAGGGTGTAGACTTTCCAATTTCCCGGGGGGGGGGGCTGGGGCTGGGCCAGAGGCATTGCTTTGCTAGGAGCAAGGGTGGCTCCCGGGGGAGGCTGAGCACCTTCCTGAAAATTTCGGCGGGGGCTGAAGCCCCGCCGCCCCCACGAAGATTACGCCTATGGGCTAAAGCTTCTCATGGCTCTTCTAAGCCCCACAGGGGTTCTAGAAAGTAGAACTGTATCATCAGCATATAATAATACAGGGATCTTTTGGTCAGCTAATGTAGGGGGGTGAAAGTCAGGGTTACTTAAGCTGCTTAACATGTCATTAATATAAAAATAAATAACAATGGGGCCACATGTTCCCCTGTGATTATTAAACATTCTAGAATCTGGTACAGAGATGGAGTAGGGAGGTGGTAGATAAAGCAGAGTCTGTCAATAAATGCTTTAGTTGTCTTCCTCTTGAAATTATCTTTAATATTTCACCTAAAACCCTAGAGAGCCTATGCCAATTCAAGGAAAAAGTACTGAGCTAGATAGACCAATGATCTGACTCAGAAGACAGTTTCCCATACCAATAACTGTGGATACAAAAAACAACAACAACTGTGGAAAGGACTAAAGCTTTTGAAAAATGTGTTGAAACACAGTAAACTGAAATACCTAAGGCAGAAAATACAAACGACCAGATTACAGAACGATATATTAGGATAAAACTGTGGATAACAAAGCAATGAAAGCAATTCTCCATCCAACTATCAATCTCAGTGTAGCATAGCAACAGCTATTTATCCAGAAAGTCTTGTGGAAAAGAAAATTGTTTTAACCAATTCCCTAAATGCTTTAGTAATCTAAGCCTGCCAGGCATGTCTTGAAAGGAGCCACCACAGCCGAGGCCCTGCTTCTAGCAGACTGACAAATTAATGGTTCAGAACTTCAGGGTCTTCATCAAACCTTCACCACCACCGATGAAACTGATATAATTAACTTAGGGAATTTTCAGCTGATCCATTTAAAAATAGATCCACCCTGAATCAGCATGGATTGTAGGATCATGAGGGAAGCCAGAGGCCTCCCAGTTCTGCCTGTAAGCTTCCCAACCAGCTTCCCCACTACTCTTTGGAGATGGAGATGGAGATGGCAGAGAAGAAAAAGGCTTGGTAGACTGAGGCTTGGGAATGCTGCTGCATATGTGCGTATGCATTGAGTATTCAGGGTGAATAGGTGTTGTTCCTGTGATGCCCTCCCCACCACCTTAGACAAGCCAATTGTTTATGACAACATTCAAGGAAGGCCTCCCTTCCTAGCACCATTCCCACATAGATAGGACCCTCTTGGCCATCCCTTGCCACTGGAAAATAGCTTGAAGCTTGGCAGGAAGACACAGTTTAAGTTGCTGAAAAGTACTGGGTGGAGGGGCATTTCCTGTCTTTTCCCACACCCATTTTGAAGCTTTCATGCTGATTTTCAAATGCAGTCATGAAAAACAAAAGAACAAAAGAACAGCCCAGTGTGTGAGGTTAGACGAGGGCTTTTTTAAAGAGATGCCGGAACTCTCAAGGGGAAATTAAGTTTTCAGTCTGCACACTGAAAACTCCTGAATTTGTAAACATTTTAAACAGAATTTTGTCAAAGAGGTTCCGGAACTCTGTTCCAGTGTGTTCTCCCAGAAAAAAAAGCCCTGATCCAGACTAAATCCAGATCTGCTCTTGTCTCATTCCCCTTTCTTAAAAATCAGATTTTTCTACCTCCAACTTGGAAGTCAATTTCCGTGGTGACTAGACAATTATGCCACTAAACAATAATTAAGTCCTGTCAAGTCACAGCCCACTCATGGCAACCCTTCATGTGGTTGTCAAGGCAAGAAATGACCAGAGCCTGCCTCTGTATAGGAACCCTGGCCTTCCTTGGTGGTCTTCCATGCAACTACTAACCATCACTGACCCTGCTTAGCAGCCCAGCTCTAATGGGCTCAAACTCTGAAAATGGGTCGCAGGCTTGCCCTCCCTAATGGCTGCCCCTGCTCTTTCCATTGTTCTCGTTTGTATTTTGGAAACCAAGATCTGACCATGGAAACCGTATCTTCCATGTCATATAATACTTGGTATTTTATCTTCACCATGTAAAATGAGTGCCCTGATAAAGTGCCCGGAGTTTCGTAGAATCTTAGGGGGGATTAGAGGGACTAATGGAGAAGTAGAGAGTGGCCAAAGGCTGGACTGTAACCTTCATATGCAAAGGCTGTGTATGTCAGAATGGAATTTTCTTGGGGCTCATAGTGGTGGCAGCTCTACCGTTTGTAAAATGTTTGTTGGTTTTGCAAAAGGGCGGGGGAGGAGGAGAATTGGATTTATACCCCGCCCTTCACTCAAAGTCGCAGAGCAGCTTACAATCTCCTTTCCCTTCCCCTCCCGTAGGGGGGTTTGGTGTACTGGTTAAGTGCGCGGACTCTAATCTGGGAGAACCGGGTTTGATTCCCCACTCCTCCACTTGCACCTGGCTGGATGACATTGGGCAAGCCGTAGTTCTGATAAGGAGCTGTTCTTGAAAAAAGCAGTTTCTGAGCTCTCTCAGCCCCGCCTACCTCACAGGGTGTCTGTTGTGGGGAGGGGAAGGGAAAGAAGTTTGTAAGCCACTCTGAGACACCTTTGGGTAGTGAAGGGTGGGGTATAAATCCAATCTCTTCTTCTTCTTCTCCCCACAACAGACACCCTGTGAGGTAGGTGGGGCTTAGAGAGCACTGAGAGAACTGCTCTTGAGATAACAGCTCTAAGAGAACTGTAACTGACCCAAGGTTACCCAGCTGGCTGCATGTGGAGGAGTGGGGAATCAAACCCAGTTCTCCCAAATTAGAGTCCGCGTTCTTAACCACAACACCAAACCAAACCACTACAGACTTGATTTTAAAAAGTTCGGTTAGCCACTGTATAAAACGGAATGCAGAACTAGATGGGTGCCAACAAGGTCACAGTTTGTTATGAGTGCTAAAAAACCTTGGGCCAGCCTTGAATGGGCCACCATAGTGAAAAGGTTGGTATCCACTGGTCTGGGTTATTTAGGCTAAAAACCCCTCCCAATAGCTGAATTCCTAGTCCTAGTGATTCTCAGTATCTGGCTGGGAGACAGAAAATACTCAGTGGTAAAGCAACCAAGAGGTATATGTAGGATTTTCCTTATGGGCTGATATGCTTGAAACATACTTTTCTGAGAGTAAGCCTATTGAACAGACATGCTTAGTACTGTGCCAATAGCTGCTGTTTTACATAAAAGAGGAGAATCCCAGTTATTTTCATCACACAGCCGGGAAAGCTGAGAGTTCCAATTTGTTTAATTGGTTTGATCAAGAAAAGCTTTAATCACAGATTGAAATTTCTCCTTTGATAAAATCAGTATACAGCTTTGATTGAAGGGGAGACCAACATAAAGTTCAAAGCTAGATGCCAGCTACTCTTCTTCCTCTGCCAAATTTGATAATAAACATAGATTGTTCATTCCCGTTTGTACCCTGCATATATTTTCCATGTCAGTGTGAAACTGTTGTAATTTTTTTAAGGAAAAAGAATTAACTGTAACTAAACCTAACAGGGACTCTTGAGAGTCCCTTGGACTGCAAGGAGACCAAATCAATCAATCTTAAAAGAAATCAACCCTGACCGAAAGGCCAGAAACTGATGCTCAAACACTCTGGCTACCATATGAGAAGGGAGAACTCACTGGAGAAAGGCCAGAAACTGACGCTCAAACACTTTGGCTACAATATGAGAAGGGAGAACACACTGGAGAAGACCCTGATGCTGGAAAAGATTGAAGGTAACAGAAGAAGGGGACGGGAA